TTCCTTTCTCTATAGAAACTTTAATTGAACTTTCTTCCGATCACAATCCGGTCATGTTAAACTTCTCTTTAATTTACGAAACTCTGGAACTAACCCGTAATGTCTCTACTAACTGGTCGAAATTTAATAGTATTCTCTCTAACCCTTCTAATGATAATTTGGACTTAGATTCACCTCTTTTAATTGACGCGGAAGTTAACCGCATTACTACTATTATTCACAACGCGTATTTTAACTCTTCTAAACCTGTTGCTAATAATAATATTAACTTCCTTCCCACACACATTAAACGACTAATTGCCGACAGGAATCGAAACAGAAAAACATGGCAAACACATCGCGATCCAATTTCTAAAAACCATTACAATCGTTCTCAAGCCAAGCTTCGAAAATCCATACGCGAATTCACCCAAAACACTTGGACGAATCGTTTACAAACTCTACATCCAGCAGATGGCTCCATCTGGTGCGCGGTAAAGCAACTAAAAGGGGTTAAGATAAAAGTATCTGATCTTAAAGATGCGAATTCCTTGCCGGTTTTAAATGACATAGATAAAGCAAATTTGCTTGCGGATAACCTTCAGGATCAGTTCCAAGTAAATAACCTTTCTAACCCGCTTACTAACGAAACTGTTCAAAATTCTGTTACTTTTTTAAATTCTCAATGTAATCCGAATAAAATTGTTGATATTAATCCTTCTTTGCTTTATGATTATATTAGTAAACTTAAAATTAATAAAGCGCCGGGCGTGGATAACATTACTAACAAAATGCTTAAAAATTTGCCGCATAACATAATTGTTCGTATTGCTAAAATTATCAATGCTATCTTTAAATTCTCTTATTTTCCCCTTTCCTGGAGAAAAGCAATTGTTTTACCTATTATTAAACCAGGAAAGGATCCTTCTAATCCTAGTAATTATATGCCTATCTCTCTTCTCTCAACTTTAAGTAAATTAACCGAATTTGTAATTTTGCATAAAATTAAAAAGCACATTACTAAACATTCTATTATGATTCCGCAGCAATTCGGCTTTACTTCTCAGCTTAGCACTACTCATCAGCTGCTTCGTATTACGGAAATGATCTCTGAAGGACTTACTAAAAAGATTTTAACGGGTATTGTTTTCCTGGATGTAGCCAAAGCGTTTGATAGAGTTTGGATTGATGGCTTATTGCATAAATTACTTGCATATAAATTTCCGCGTTACTTAATTCTTCTCATCAGATCTTATCTACAAAACAGATCTTTCTCCGTGAAAGTTAACAACAATTACTCTGATGACAGAACAATTAGAGCGGGTGTACCGCAAGGGTCACTAATTGGGCCAATCCTTTTTAATCTTTTTATTAACGACATTCCACATTTCAATAATATTTCTTTAGGAATTTATGCAGACGACACGGCAGTTATCACCACAGGTAAAACACTCACAGACATACAAAACAATTTTATGATATACTTCACACACCTCGAAGCTTGGCTCACTCGTTGGCGTATTAAAATCAATGTTGACAAAACAGTAGCTGTACTTTTCACGAGGAGAAGACTTACACCACCTAACATCTATCTCTTTAACCAACTCATAGCATGGTCTACTAACGCAAAATATCTGGGAGTTTATCTGTATAATAAGCTAACATATATTAACCATATGGCTCACATTAAACGTAAAGTTAACATTGCTATCCGCATGCTTTATCCTTTTATTAATAGAAATTCACCTCTTTCTTTAGAAAATAAACTCATTCTCTATATGTACTATTTGCGTCCCGTAATAACTTATGTTTGCCCGGTTTGGGGTTCTGCTGCAAGGTATCATATTAAATATATTAATTGTATTGAAAATAAAATGCTTCGTATGATTACGAACTCTCCTTGGTACTTTAGAAATGATGACATCCGTCGTAGTCTATCCCTCCCACCTATTCAAAATTTTATGCTCAAGCTTGCGACAAATTTTTACGCAACTCTTAACTTGATTCCCAATGATGAAATCCGTAATCTTCCTAGATATGATTTCACATTGCCGGAAAACGCTAAGCGCCCTCGGGCGTCTCTGCATAATTTGCAATTGACCTAGACTTTGTCATCATTTCTAGCAGCAATTCTCCACTTTGTAGTATATTTCACCTTTTCTTTTATTCTCTTTTAATTATTTGTATATATTTTTTGCACTTCTCCTTTTTTTGTATATTAGTAATTTTTTTATACTACTTTTCTTTTTTTATTTTTATTTTCTCTTTTTTCATTTTCTTTGTATAAATTTGTTAATTTGTGAATAACTGTACTTTGTAAATATGGGCAGTTTCCTAATCACTTTTCCTGTTTTTTCTCTGTATCAATGTTTTTATATCATGAACTTTTATGTGTTTTCCATTATGGAGTTAAAGGTCAAAATATAGGCCAAGGAACTCCGTTAAAACTAAGAACGACCCCCCAAGCGACATACCTCCCGGCTACCAAGCGGTTAGCCAACAAACCAACTCTATTGAACAGTCTAATAATCAATTCTCCTCTCACCTCGGAAACGATGTAAACCAGCTCCACCAGCTATTTAAAAATGTAAGAAACTTGATGATAAAAAAGAGAATCGTCAGCCTGAAAGTGTCATTGGTGTTAAAGATGTGGACTGTAGATCCATAGGTCGCTGGTTCGACTCCGGCTCGACGAACCAAAATGTTCGACAGCTCGATCACACACAAATAAAAAACATGGACTGTATTGATTATTCTCCTTTATTTAGGTAGCCATCACACTCGAGGATGAACTGACCACACAACCTCTCTTTGGTTACAGAAGTTCAACTGCCTCTTACATTCCTTTCTCTCTCGTCATCTCACCCCCACAGACAGGATGTTTACTGGACATAGGGCGTTGAATTCCTTTATGCACGGGGATCTGGGTTTCGACGTAACACCATTTATAGATATCCTAGAGGAAATCGTCAGCAAAGAAAAGATGAAACAGGCCGCCGCTGAGAAATCCAAGCGGCAGAAAAGGGGAACTGACAGCGAGGGTTTTACCCTCCCCCCAAGCGACATATACCTCCCGGCTACCAAGCGGTCCCGCGGTTAACCAACAAACCAACTCTATCGGCCAGTCCGCCTTTCTTTGTCAGGCTATGCGCGAACTGGGTTTCCAACAACGCGATCTGCAGACGCGCGGATCCTTCCGTTAAATCGGTCCAATCTAGGGACAACTTCCTAAAGCTCACTGTAGATACTGAAGAGGACCATATTCGCTTGAAGGCAGCCCTTTTCAAACAAGGCGCTGAATTCAAGTGCTTTAATTTGCAAAAGGACCGCCCAGTCAAAATTGTGATCAGGGGCTTACCCTCATGCACTAAGCATGAGCCGAATATCGAGGCTATTATAGCCAAAGGATTCAACATTATTAAATTCACTCCATTATCAAAATTTCAAAACAAACAGCCAATGCCTCTCTTCTATGGTCAAGTAATTAACTACTTGAACATCGAAGAGATTTACGGAATCACCGAGCTCTTCGGCACCAAAGTTTCCATCGAGAAGTACAGGGGGAGGAACTCCCCCGCCCCTCAGTGTTTCTGGTGTAAAGGCTTTTGGCACAGTAGTGAGGCATGCAACCCCCCACAAAGATGCGTGAAGTGCTCTGGCAACCATGCCGCAAAAAATTGTAACCCGGAATTGTAAACCGGGGACCTCAAATGTGCTAACTGTTCAGGGTTTGGTTTGTCGCTCTACGGTCATCTTATGCACTCTTTTGGGCTAAACAGACCGGGACCTACAGTTTAACGTGGATTCCGAACCACTCACAAACATCCATGCCACCGCCAGGATTCGAACCTGAAGCCTGGGTACCAATGACCAGAGCGCTAGCCACTTGGCCACCAGGCCGCTCTAACTGTTCAGGGAATCACGCGGCGAACTGGCGCCAGTGCCCTCGTTTCCCAAAAAGGAAACAAAATAATAAATTTAATAAGCCAATTGGCAATAATCAAAATCTAAAGAATCAGCAAGTCAATAAGACTACTACCAGGACTCAACCACATCGGATTCTGATTGTTTTTGCGTTGTGTTGTTTCCATTTTGGAAAGTTCTAGTTTGTGTCTTTTGTGTCCAAGATGAGTCAGACTTCTGCTGGTGTTTTGGAAGAGGACCCGCCGCCTCATATTGGATTGGATTCGCTCTCACCCGACAGCCCGGACGTTGCTTCTAACATGGATTTAGATAATGACCATTCCCAAAAAGAGACCTTTGGACCTGCTCTGCCTATCAGGGAGATATCTGATGAGTTTGTTCTCATCAACCAAGCCACGCTGCTGAAGGCTTCCCACCTCAAGCAGCAGCAGACGTCCACGGCAACGCTAATTGCCAAAACTAAGCCTGATACCCAGGACGCCGCTCAGCTCCACGCAGAGATGGCGGGATTGTACAACATGCTTGATAATCTGAAATACGAATTTGGAATAGCATTATTCCAAATTCCCTCCCTACAGGAGATTGAAGATCGGTGCAAACGTGCAAATTGCCAGGGAGCTCCTCGCATCCTCAAGCGCTCCCGCATTACCCATCTTGGATGAATCTATAGATGCATCCACCATGCTTCCGAATGAAAGCAGGAAAGATAAAAGGCCAGCTGATGGTGATGGCTTCCAACTACCGCCGAAGCACCTGACCAAAAAACAGCCGAAAGACTCAAGTGTCCCAGGAGTGGTTACCCAAAATGCCTTCGCGCCAGTTGGGAATATCAACAGCATACCTGAATTGCAGGACAACGCTGTTTACGACGCCCGGCCGCCTCCTATCTTCTTCCAGCCTAAGAGTGACTGGAACGCTGTAATTAACATCCTTAAATCTGAAGTACCGCTCATACAGAGCAAGTATACTGGGCGCTTTATGAAGATTCAAGTCTCTAATGATGACGACTTCAGGAAGCTCACCCGCTTCATGGAGGAGAGAGGCCTCGACTTTAAAAGCTACTCCTTAAAGGAGGAACGCCCGATCAAGGTGGTGATCCGCGGATTACCGGCCTCAACTGACCCTACGGCCATCACTGCTGAACTTACGGACGAGGGTTTCACCAACCTGAAGATGTCCCGGTTATCTAAATTCAAAACCAGGGAACCAATGCCCCTATTTTACACTCAGCTTAAGAAGACCGAGCAGTCCAGTAAGATCTACCACGTCACGGAACTTTTGGGTACGCAGGTATCCATCGAGGCCTACCGTGGACGCCCTGGCCCCAGCCAGGGCTGGAATTGCCAGGGGTATTTCCACTCCTCGGAGGTTTGCCGCCTCCCCACCAGATGTGTTCGTTGTGCGGGACCGCACAAGGCAGAACACTGCCAATTACCCAGTGACCAACCGGCCAACCACTATATTACTTATTTTAAATAAATTAGACTCTTGGCTTCTTATGTTAATTATTTTGTCGGGGAATTTCATGATGAAAAAAGGCATATTTATTAATGTAAAAACTATTTTCGATTATTAAAATAGGTTTTTTTTCCACATCAACATAAAAATACTGGTGGAAATGCAAGTTTTCTAGTTGAAAATAAGCCAAATTTTCATGATTTCTCCAATTTTCTTTTCCAGATGCCATTGAGGGCAAGATTTTGAGCTGCAGGAATATTACTGATTACACATTTTGATTTCAAGTTAAGACTGGATATGGATGGCCAGGAGACGCAGAGCTCGAAAATAACATTTGACTTTTACAATTTGTCTTTGGGTATCCATAGTGCTGAAAAAACATCTTATTGAACTAGGAATATATGATGGATCAGGCCAGATCAAATAACCAGCTTTCAATGATTTGGGCAAAATGCAATCATGGAACAAAAGTGCTACAATGTTTGATTCATATAATATCAGATTAATTTTTTTAAGCCGATTCTGAGGGTACCAACAACACCTTAAGCAATCTAACAAGATTTCTCTCACAAATATTTTCAGTGCACCTCAAATTTCCTCCCAGGATACTAACTCAATAAAACATACCAAACGAAAAATACTGCATTGTTATAAAGAGTTAAAAATACATATCAATAATTTAGAATGACTCAATTATGTAACTATGAAAGACAAACTTTCAATAACTTTTAAGAAGAAAGCTTGTAGTATGGGCTACACAATGCATTCTACACTTTCAGGTATCTATATTCTTCAAACAATTGGTTCTACATCATTCATCAATATATGTTTACAGTTCATAAATTTTTTAGTCAGTATTCAATTTCACGTTACTGTGCATTTGCAACTTGTAATTTCTAAATATAAATACTCATTTTTGCATTAAAGCATATTTATAATCCTTAAGTTTTTCTACAATAATTGTTCCTTATCATATTTATATACATCCACATATAATTTAACTAAAAAGACAAAATTTCGTAAAAAATTCAGTTTTGAATAAAGCATTAATAAAAATGCCTGAAAAAAAAAATGGTACAAAAAATTCTGGCACAATGGCATTCATGTGAACTACAATCCAAACACCAAATGAATTGTAGGCTTAAAAAATTTAGTGTAAACAGAATGTTAAAAGAGTTAAATATTGTTGTCAGCCATTTAGAATGGTGTAGTTTTGAACATTGAGAGACAAAACTTGCAATTACTTTTTAAAAAAAAGTTTGCAGTGCTGCTACACAATGCATTTACAACCATTCTTTGCTTCCAGTCATTTAAAACTCCTAACTTTCCTCACAATCGGTACTCAATTTCAGATTAATATGCCTTTACAATTTATAATTTTTTTCACAATCTCAAAAATTCTCCAATTGGAAGTGAAACACTTTTTATCCCAGATACTCAATGAAATTATTTTCAATTCAGCAAAGCACATTCTTGATTCAATCCAACAGATTTTTCTCAAATTTTTTCAGTATACTTCCTCTAAAGAGTAACTCGCTCAAAAAATGCTACATGAAGAATACTACTTCTGTTGTTAAAGAGTTACAAAAGCATGTCAACTATTTAGAATGATGCAGTTTTTAACTATGAAAAATAAAAACTTGCAATACCTTCAAAAGTTTGCAGTCAAGGATGTACAATACTTTCAGGCATTTATATTCTTCATACAATTGGTTCAACATTTATCATCAACATATGTTTACAGTACAGAATTTTTTTTTAATCAGCATTCAATTCCATATTCATATGTATTTACAATTCATAATTTTTTTTAAATATATTTATATTAAAGAATAAGTTGCAAATGTATATTTGTATCACATTAGCATGTATCAAATTTCCATTAATGTATATTTATAATCCATAAATTTTTCTACAATAATTATTCCATATCACATTTATATCCATCAACATGTAATTTATAACTAAAAAGACAAAATTTCAGTTTTGAATCAAGCATTAATAAAAATGTCAAACAAAAAAATGGTATGAAAAATTCTGGTACAATGGCATTGTGACTATAATAATATCAAAATAATTATAGGCTTAAAAAATTTAGTGTAATAAAGTAATTAATAAAAAATATACAAGCGTTTTAAGAGTTAAAAATGCTTGTCAGACATTTAGAATGGTGCAGTTATGAAGCATTGAGAAACAAAACTTGCAATTACTTTTTTAAAAAAAGTTAGCAGTCCTGGTTACACAATGCATTTTACAGCCATTCTATGTTTCCAGAAATTAAATTTTCTCATAATCAGTGCTCAACTTCACATTAA